GATGAAGGAGAGATCAGAAGAGAAGGGTAGGAGAATAAGGAGGGAAGAGGGAAAGGAAGTGAAGGGAAGAGGTAAAAGAGGAAAGGAAGGAAGAAGAGGTCGCAAGTAGGAGAGAAGGAAGGAATAGAGGAGAAAGGAAGGGAACAAAAGCAAAAAAAGAGGTGAGAGACAGAAAAAAGGAGATGTAGAAGAGGAAGGAAGCAAGTAAAGGAGGAAGGGATAAAGGAGAGATCAGAAGAGAAGAAGAGTAGGAGAATAAGGAGGGAAAAGGAAGAGAAGAGGGAAGGGAACAGGAGGTGAAAGAGGAAAAGAAAGAAGATGTAGCAAATAGGAGAGAAGGCAGGCAGGCAGAACAAAGGAAGGATCCACAAATTATGTCCAAGAACAAGGAATGTCATAATCCCACTTCCGCTTACCTGGCTTCACCAGTGATATTTCCCCCATTCACTAGTGACTTTCCTTTAAACAGGTTCACACACAACTTCTAGACAGAGGCCAGTCCTTCCATGGATTAATTGCCTCCAGCCCTCCCACCAGCTACCCACCCCCTGCAACCCACAAAGTGCCCGACGGGGGCAACGCTTCCCCCCCGAAATACGGCACCTCCACCGAATGCATACCGTTAACGGGTGGTCTGCCGAATCCAAGATGTCGGGCATGATCTGATTGGCGTAGGCCAACCTCTCCTTCAGAGAGTTCCTCTTCCTCAGCCCTGTCAGGTTGACCAGGTGGATCTTCAGCCAATTCAGGCCTTTGGGTCCGAGCGGCTTCCCCTCCGCAAAGAGGAGAATCCCCCGGGTGAAGTCGCCCCCCAGGTGGTTGAAGTGAGGGGGGCACGGGTAGGTTCTCCCACGGAAATCCAGGTTGTGGGGGAACCAGAAAACCTCATCTTTCATGTGCTTGGCGATGGACAGCTTATAGAGCATGTCCATCCGCAGGCTGTAGGTCTCCCGGTTCTTCTTACGGCACTGGGCCATCTTCCATTTCAGAGCCATCCGGGACATGGGCGCACTCTCGGCCAGCTGCTTGGCGAGCTCTTTGGCCTCCCAAGATGGCGGCGGAGGGACGTCCAACTTCTCATCGCCTTTATCGTTGAAGATGGAGATGATCACGTCCAACACGGGCTGGTTGACTTTCCAAGGGCAGTTGCCCAGAAAGTTCAGCGCGTCCAGGACCAAGCAGAGGTGGTCGTGAGGGCACTCGTCCAAAAGCAGCTCGTGTTGGAACACCCCGTCCGGGCATCGCATCAGCTTGACGGGGGAAAGAGTGTAGGCCCCGAAGTGGGAAGAGACCCAGGGCACGGGCGGGCACTGCATGGGGAGGATGAAGGAGTCAAAGGTGAGCGTTGTCTCCAAAGCCTCCTGAAGAATCCGGATCAGGATGGAGTGAGGTTTTATGAAACCGATCTGCAAAAGGAAAAGAAAGGGGGATTTTTTAAAAATTAGAAAATAACCGCTAATGCTACAAGGAATAGAATAATAAAAAAGGTTACCAATGTCTCTCCTTGCTTTTAATAGTCTATATTAACTTATTAATTTAGTTGATTCTTTAGTCTGTCTTATTCCCTTTCCATTACACATTCTTTTTATAAATTCTAGATTAATACAAATTTTAACACTAAAGAAAAAAAAACAAGTATAGGTTTCCCTCCTTTTACTGCTTTGAGTGTGACCCCTCAAACGGACCAAAATTCAGCTTGGGAGGTGCGTGCATGTGCAGTGCAGGTAAAAGGGCGGGGCGGGTGTGCTGCATGCGCAGGGCGCATTGCATTGTGGATGCCAGTGCACGCGCACGCTTTCAACACACCACAACAGAAAGGTTTGCCATCACTGACCTATAGAGTTGGAGCACCCACAACCTCTGGAGTCAAGTTGTTCCAACTGATTAATTGTCCTCACTGTCAGGAAATTCCTCCTAAGTTCTCGGTTGCTTCTCGCCTTGGTTAGCTTCCAACCTTTGCTTCTTGTCCTGCCTTCAGGGGCTTTGGAGAATAGGCTGACCCACCCGCCACCCTCCAGGCTATTGGTGGCAGCCCACCAAATATCGGAAGGCCGCTATCATGTCACCCCGGGTCCTTCTTTCCACTCGACTAAAGTGAGCACAGGCGCCTCAGGGTTTTGCACGCTTGACCAGCCGTCCGCGTTGCTCACCTGCTTGGTTCCGCGGAAAGAATAGACGTGATACAGGACTGGAATGACGGAGTTCTTAGGGAGCGAAGGCAGCAGGCTGTTGTCCAGCTTCAGAGTTTGGACCATCAGTTCTATCAGCTGAAAACCCAGCTGAACCAACAGGCTTGGGGGCCAGACGGCTTGCTTGGATATCAAGGAAGGACTATAACCCACCTCTGCCCTCAGCTTCTCCCAATATTCCCGGGGCAAAAAACCATTCACCTGTAGAGGCAAAGGAGAGGGTGAAGTTTACATTCTGGAGGCTGACAGCATTTAGACTTACGTACCGCTTCACAGTGCTTTGCAGCCCGCTCTTAAGCGGTTTACAAATGGTAGCATCTTTGCCCCTCACCCACCCACCCCCACCAATCTGGGTCCTCATTCTACTGACCTCGGAAGGATGGAAAGCTGAGTCAACTTTGAGCCGATGAGAATCAAACTCCTGACTGTGGGCAAAGTCAGGCTGCTGCAGTAGTGCATTCTAATCACTGCGCCACCACGGCTCTCTCTACTTAAACGTGTTTGGGTTCACACACTGCACTGCTCACTGAAGTTGCTGGAGACGGTTGACGGGATAAGAAGACGCCGCCCTTGGTGCCGCCTGTCTCCTTGGTCGTTGCTCTTATGCAGGGCTCCCCAAACTTGGCAACTTTAAGACTTGTGGACTTCAACTCCAGCCAGGCTGGAGAATTCTGGGAGTTGAAGTCCACAAGTCTTAAAAGTTGCCTCTGCTCTTATGCCATATAGGGCAGGGGTCCCCAACCACCAGTCCCCGGACCGTTACCGGTCCGTGGATCATTTTTTACCGGGCTGCAAAGCTTGGGCGCCGCCATCTTGTTTCGACAGCGCTTCCGGGTTTTCGGTTGCTTCCGGGTTTTCAGTTGGAAAGCGGCGTTTGGGTGCTCGCGCCTTAGTTTTGTCGAAGGGGGGGGGCGGCTTCGAACGAAGAGCCGTCCCGATGGCGGTGGAGTCTCACGTTACTCAGGTACCGGTCCGTGGAAGAATAAATAATTGTGAAACCGGTCCCTGGTTCAAAAAAGGTTGGGAGCCACTGATAAAGGGGGTTCCTGCAGATTTTACCCTGCTAGTCGTGCTGACTCTAGGGAAACGGTGCTGATCTTCGTTTCAAGGCCACTGAGTTAGTGCTGCCTGAAGACATTTCCACGGTCCTGTGGCCACAGAGTGCTGTGACCTTCCCGCCAACGTGATACTTATTTACCTACTTGCATTTGCATGCTTTCAAACTGCTAGGTTGGCAGTTTAACTGGAATGGTTTGGTTAAAACATTAACCTCTAGAACAGGGATGTCAAACTTAAGGCCGGAGGGCCAGATCAGGGTGCTTAGATCTGGCTTACAGGAACGCCCTGGAAACAGTGAAGGAAGGGTCCGCGGTGCCTCTGCCAGATCCATATGGCCCTCCCAAGCTCCGTTTTTGCTGGCAGAGGGTTGCAGGAAGCTGTCCCAGCTGAAAACAGATCTCGGGAGCCCATTTTCGCTGGCAGAGTGCTTGGGCCAACACAGATGCCTCCGACATGAGTGACCCCAAGCTGGCCACACCCAGACTGGCTATGCCCACTACAGACTCCCAAGGTCAAACACAACCCCGATGCGGCCCTCAGTGAAATCCAATTTGACACCCCTGCTCTAGAACCGGGGTGTCAAACTCACGTCATCACGGCAATGTCATGTGAAGTATCGGGACGTTTTTCCCCCCCCCTTTGCTAAATTGGGCAATTGGGCGGGGCCATCTTGTGATGCATTAGGCCCACGAGTTTTGACAGCCTTAAAGTAGTTCCATTTTTTGTGGGTTCTAAATATTAACGTTGTATTTACAGTACAAGGAGTTCTCAACTTACAACAGTTCATTTAGTGAGGGTTCAAAGTTACAACGGCACTGGAAAAATTGACTTGTGACCATTTTTCACATTTATGACCTTTGCAGCAGCCCCATGGTCATACTTATGACCGTTGTTTTTTCCCAGGGTCATGGGATCCCCTTTTGTGACTTTCTGACAAGCAAAGTCAATGGGGGGAAAAGGGATTCACTTAACCACCATGATACTAACGTATCAACTGCAATAATTCACTTAACGACGGTGGCAAGAAAGGTTGTAAAACGGGGCAAAACTCACTTAACGAATGTCTCACTTATCAACATAAATTTTGGGTTCAATTGTGGTTGTAAGTCGAGGACTATCTGTAGATAGTTTAATTTACATTATGTTGCCAATTTTCTAATCACTAGTGCTTCTTGTTCCGTTTTCAAGGTCTGTGTGTGTGATAATTTATTTATTTATTTTGTCAAGCAATTATAAGATTACAGGTATAAGTACATAGTTATGAGTACATCAAATAGATACATATAAGAAAAATAAAAAGAAACATTACAAAAATATCCATATCTATCTATCTATCTATCTATCTATCTATCTATCTATCTATCTATCAGGTTCCATGAGTTGAAAAAGGTTGAAAACATCACCATTAGGTCAACCTTAAAAAAGGAACTCAGAAAAATCTAGTTTTAGTCCAAAATAGCCCTGAGTTATTGGAACCCAAAAAATCCTCTCACGAAAGTGGTCAATCCAGAAACTAGAGATGGTCTATCCCAAAGGTGCTTTTTTTCAAGAGTCAATTGGACATTCTGGTTTTTCTTTGAAGACTTTTTCACTTCTCATCTAAGAAGCTTCTTCAGTTCTTCTGCAATCTTCTGAAAAACCAAAGTCCAGCTGCCTCTTGAAAAAAGCACTTCTGGGACAGCCATGATCTGGATGACTGAGAATCTCCACAGGGATGGTGAAGTTGGATACCTGATTATCCTTGGCCAAAAGTTTGACGTAGCTATCATAGGTCTTCTCAAAATTTTCTGATGAAATGGTACAACTTTTTCTCTGAATGGTGTATTTATTGTAGATTCTGGTACCCAGATCCTTCGCTAAAATGCTGACGCATTCCCCAAGGGCTGGCATGCTGAAGACCGTCTGAAAAGAAGGCAAATTAAAACAAAGACAACTTAAGAGACTCAAGTATAGGACCTGTAGCAATTTTAATTTTTTTTAAAAAAGTTAAGAAGCATTGTTCTGTTTTTCAGTTTTACTTTCTTACTTAGTGTTTCTATTATTTAGCAATAGTACTTAAGACTTATATATTATTTCATGGTGCTTTCCAGCCGTCTCTAAGCGGTTTGCAGAGTCAGCATAATTGCCCTCAACCATCTGGGTCCTCATTTTACCCACCTTGGAAGGATGGAAGGCTGAGTCAACTCTGAACCGGTGAGGATCAAACTCCTGGCAGTGGGCAGAGTCAGCCTGCAGTACTGCATTCTCACCACTGTGCCCACCAGGGATTTTTTATTTGTTTATTCACTTTCCACAGCCACCCAACTCAACCAAAGCAATTAAAATATTAAAAAAAACCTAATAAATTACTGTGGATGACTTATTACCCAAATGCAGGTAACACCCTAAATCAGGGGTGTCAAACTCGAGGCCCACGAGCCAGATCCGGCCTGTGGTGCCTCTGCTAGTGAAAAAGAGCCAAGAGAAACTAAAAACAAACTAAAAGGAGAAACGTTTCCCCCTTTTCCATTTGAGCAGGCAAGATGGGACAGGAAAGGAGAGAAGGAAAGACAAAGAAAAAGAAGGGAAGAGAGCAAGGAAGGAAAAAGAAGGAAAGAGGGAAAGGAAGGAGAAAGGAGATGGAAGAGGGAAGGAAAAGGAAGAAAAGGAAAGAAGAAAAGAAGAAAGGGAAAGAGGAAAGACGGAGAAAAAGAAAGGAAGATGGGAAGAGAGCAAGGAAGGAAAAAGAAGGGAAGAGGGGAAGGAAGAAGAAAGGAGAAGGAAGAGAGAAGGAAAAGGAAGAAAAGGAAAGAAGAAAGGGGAAGGAAGAGAGAAGGAAAAAAGGAGAAAAGGAAGGAAGGAAAGAAAGGGAAAGAAAAAGAAAGGAAGATGGGAAGAGAGCAAGGAAGGAAAAAGAAGGAAAGAGGG